AGTGATTCAGTGGTGAGGATATGTGGGAACAGCATTACCTTGGAATCAATCATTTATGAGCTAAACTTTTGTCAAAGTATTACATAATTTAAATTCATTGCCAATTTACTTTTCCCTTGGCCAATATCAGCAACCAAAAATATCGGTCTAACCCTAGTTTGGATCCCACCATGGTTGGTTCATGCATGGTGCTACACTGTACTCGGGCCTGTGGCTGTTCATTTATGTGTGTATTTGTGGATGCACGTGGGCTGCTTTGCCTCCCTCTCCCTCTCTGTTAACGTTGACTCATCCATTTTCAGCCAGTTAATAATTCAGAGGGTCTGCAGGCGGTGTTTTCATCTGTCTCATCTCTGCGCTCGCCTGTGAAAGAACCCCTAGTAATTACACACCACCAAAACAAGACACTGAATCCGATGGCTGGCAGCGTGGCTGAGGATAGAGACTGAGCAAGTGTGGAGGAGAAAGAAGAAGGGAAGTGGGTGAGGGTAAGGGAAGGAGAGATTGGAGGACAGGAGGAGAGGGATTGGAGGATACACAGGAGACAAGAAGGATACACAGTGGAGAGAGGTGTCTCAGCATTGTTGTAAATCCTCTGCAGGGCCTTGTAAGCTGTCAGACAAGCTGAGGGTGTTAAAGGCATGAAGTGAGAGCTACACACACTCCTGGACACACACGCATGAATCATTGTGCGGAGAGAAAAGTTTACTCCTGCTACCAGCGGGACTGGCTCGCTGCTGTGTTTTATGGCTTTCTATTCCTATGTGATTTTCTCTGGCATGTCACATAGGGTCTAAAGCCATTGGGTACAGAGTGGGAGATCTGCAGACGAGGATTAGATGAATATATGAAATGACAGAAGAGGGATAAAAGAAAGCACATGGAGGTTTTACAGCATATATGTACACACACACTCACACCCGTGTACACTGCATGGCCTGAGGCGTTTTTGTCTGCTTGCAGGCAGCCCGGAGTCTAGCTCAGCTAATTGCCCCCGTATGAGACAGGTTGAAGCACACATCAATCCCTAAAGCCATACACACACACAAACACACACGCACACACATACACGCATGAATGCAGACACTTTATGTTTGGTCTGTGCCTGTGTTTTTGTCACCCACTCTCTTCCACTTGCATTACACACACATACGCACACGCACACTATATAAACTCCCCAGCTAGACCTGATGGTGCTGCTGACTCAGGTTGGTATTTAATGAAGCTCTCAGTTTCACCTTGCGTCTCCTAATCTCAGTGCTCATTTGTGATTGGCTGCAAGCACGCTAGTGAAAAATGTTAACGTTGGGAGTTTAGTGAGCCTTAGGACTACTTCTGGCTGTATGTGTGCCTACTTGTATTTGCTACATAGTGAGGACCGGACCACATTTTTAATCAACATAGTGAGGACACTTTTGGAAAGTGAGGACATTTTGGCTGCTCCTCACTTCCCGAAAGGTCTGTTTGAGTGTATGGCTGGGTTAGGAATTTAGTTGTAATGGTTAAGGTTAATATGAGGGGCTTGAGACTGTAATATAACTATGAGGGTCCCCACAAAGATAGAAGTACAAGTTTGTGTGTGTGTGAGAGAGAGAGAGAGACAGCGAGAGAGAGAGAGAGAGAGAGAGAGAGAGAGAGAGAATAATTGAAGGGCAAATAGAAATGTGAATAATAATATGAGAAGTAGCTTAATGGTAGTTTTTCTTCTTATTGAGTGACAGCACTCAATAGACCTCCTTGCCAATCTTTACCACAGTGTGTGTGTGTGTGTGTGTGTGTGTGTGTGTGTGCAGTGTGTGTTCACTGACCTATTGACTAAACCGCAGTAACTTTCTCTGCATTGAGTTTCTTGCTGAGAGCACTGCAAAAAGGTGAAAGACAAGCACGCACAGCCTTGAGCATTATATCGACAGCTGCCTGCTATGTAGTTACTGGATTACATCTTTTTTCCAGCTTTAGGCCTGTAGTTGATATAAATGATGGCAAATGATGGTAAGATTTCATGTTTTGATTCTCTCTGGCACTTCAGAACCGTGTTTCAACAGTGGCTTCTTTGAATTTTAGTCACAATCTGGATTAGAAATTCCAGCTGGGAATTAAATTCAAACCTCACTTATAGAGTTCCAGGGTCAAGAGGAGTAATTTTAGGCATCTGAGGATCCAGAGGTAAATATCACCTTTATTTCAAAGTTAGTGATTGATAGCTGAAGTATTTTAAGGCTCTGAGGGACACAAAACAGTGAGGAAAGAAGTCAAATAAGGCAGCTAAGGAGCATTTTGATAAGAAACATCCACTCACTGAGCTTAGAAATATATCACACTAAAGGGGAGCAGAGGGTAAAGATTATGATTAACAATGTGCTTTGTTTTGTTCCCCAACTTTATTGCCAGACAAGAATGTTGACAGCTTGACACTTCTGAAAAACCCTGTGTTACGTTCAATGCAAAAAAATTTTTATATCCACTGTTTTACAGCTTTTTACAATAACCACAGTATGATTAACTCTAGTAATAGACTGCTAGATTGTTAGATAGTTAACAAACTATGGTTAAGCTAAGGTTAGATTTCTGCAACTAAAACACTTGGTTAAAGATAGGGATTGTGATTATGGTTTCTAAATGTGAGGTGAATGTTAATGGCAGGTCTGTGATGGAATCTGCATGAGACATGCTACACCCATCCACCACACATGGAATTGTGAGGTGCAAAACTGTCCAGTATGAACATAACCACTAATGATTCTGGCGAGGCACAGTACAATAGAGTAGATATAGAGAGTATAGTGTGAGCATTTTTTTGTATTTGTTTGGATGATTAGGCAACTATTCTGAATATGTCATAAAAACACTAATGCCAGAATGTTTCAGCTATTTTAGTAAAGTATTTCTCCCACACTCTTTGGCGGCCAGGCATCAGAAGGATCTGCTAGCTAATGTTAGCTCAGTTGGATTTTAGGTTAGGATTCCTTCAGATTTTATTGTTTATCAGGTTTTTTACAGACAGCCAAATAATCCGCAGAGGTAGCCTGTAGGGGTGTAACGGTACACAAAAATCTCGGTTTGGTACGTACCTTGGTACACAAGTCACAGTTTGTTTTTTTTCGGTACAGTAATGAAAAAAACTAACTATTAAATATCTTTTACTTATTGGTAACCTTATTAAAACATACCACCACAGTAGTTAACTCTTTCTACACAATTTTTGAATGAAACAAATATATATAAAATCCTGCTTTTTCACATTGTTTGAATGAAAATAGAAATATAAAAGTGAAAAATAAAATCCTGCTGTTTTTTTTAACACATTTTTTGAATTAAAAATATAAATATACATTTCTGCTTTAACAGTTTTACTCAATTAAAATAAAAAGTATAGTGCAGCTGGTCAGCTTTAAAGCCTGCTCAGATTCAGTTTTACTAGGAACTTACTTAGCTTTCCCACTTTGTTAAAGTGCAGTACACAAAACATGCTTATATCTAAAGTGCAGCTTAAACAATTTTACTCAACTCCAATGGCGCTGGTTATTTCTTCAGCGCGATAGTCAGGGAAACATTCTTTCTTTTTAAACGACGACGATATCGTAGTTTGCACCAGATTGCTTTTTCTAGTCATGTCGGTTAACGTTCAAACTCGGGTGGTGTCGCTTTAGATGCGTTAGCATGTTAGACGTGCTTCCAAGTACATACCCGACCGCTGTTCTGCAGTGTCGGCACACTGCTTTTGTCTTGTCCACTTGTTTATTTCCATCTTCGTATTTTACCCTGAAACCAAAGTGTTCCCAAACGGAGGACTTAAGGTTTGCGGGTGGGTTTTCAGGTTCGTCAGGCTCACTTGCCGTGTTGTCAAAATGCGAGAATGCGCTGCACAAAGTGAAAGCGGAGATTTACGGGACTCTGTGCGTCACTCAATTATGTCCGTCAGGGAACTAGATATTTTAAATGGTTCGGCTCGCAAAAACTGAATTAAAATAAAACAAAATAAAATAAAATAATATCCTGCGCCCAATAATTCGGTACAGGGTCGTGCCAAACCGAAAGTCGCATACCGAACGGTTCGACACAAATGCATGTACCGTTACGGCCCTAGTAGCCTGCTCTCCAAAATAAATGGACCCAGTAACTAAACCGATAAAAACACTGAATAATACAGTTTCACATTAAAAACTAGTGTCCAACACGCTTTGCTTGAAACCGAGAGGGAGTCGGGAAGGACCGTAAGCCCAACTGCAGCTAACATTAGCTCAGTTTGTATCTTTCATAACTCAAGATCAAGATATTCAAGGACTAAAATCCTTCATCCAGTTAAAACAATGTTAAAAATGACTAAAAAAAAAATTAAAAAAAAGAGTGGCATTGACTTCACTTGAAACAGTAAGAAAGTAGTCGGCCCGAAATGACGACTGGCGCTTATAGAAAACGCTGCCTGATGCACAACCTCCGCTCACATACATTATAAACAATGTAAACCATCTCATCTTTGGACTGAGTGCATAAACCTTAAAACTTCAATTAATAGCCCGGGCTATTATTTGCTTAAATCACTGAAAGATGGCACAACATTGAAGCAGTTAATTTTTGTACAGCTTCAGGTTTTACTAATATATTATTGCTAACATGTTTTTTCCTCTGAGCAGTGGCACAACAAAAAATGGCAACAGCTCACTTGATCAGATATTTTTACTTCTGGGAAGTCCTTTAGGCAAACTGTAAGTGAATCAAATGGAAATGAATAACGCAAAGTCTCTTCATCATAGAGTTCAGTTACAAATCAGAAATCAAATCAGAAATCAGAAAACTCACTGCCTCAATAAGCATGAAAAACTGAAAACCCCTTTTGTCTTCTTTGATTCCAGATATCCATTTGTGTTCAAAAGACTTGCGAGCACACGAGCAGTGTGATGTCTTGGCAGATTGCCAGATGAAGGAGAAATGCTTTAACAATTCTCTTTTCTTCTTTTTCTCCTCCTCTCTTCCTTGTCTCTTCTCCCTCTCCTCTGCAGGTTTACGTGGATGCGGTGCATCAGATAGGCTATGCCCTTCACCTGTGCCTGCTTCTGTGGCCTGAACGGCTTCTGCCGCAGACGGAAGAAGAAGAAAAAGGAGCAAGTGGAAGAAGAGGAGGGTGAGGAGGGTGAGGAGGTAGAACGATTGAGGGATCAGGAGACAGAGGTGTGACGGCGACGCAGTCAGCTGCGCTCTCCTTACTGTCACCAGGGTTTTATCCTTTAACAGGCTGGAATGTATGGCCTGGGTTACTGCTGCTCAGTACAGACTGTCTCATATTAAGCATGGGGATACTATAACAGGGGTGGTAAGGGAGCTTCAGCAGGTACAGGCTTTTATTGAAAAATTCTGAATTAATTTAGGTTTTTTTTTTTTTTTAATGGAAACTTCTTTTCCAAATGTTACTGGGACTAGGGCTCCAGGTTCTACATAGCTTCTACTTTCCACTTTAAGTTGCATAAACTCAACAACCGCAAAGCTGTCTTGAGCCATATTCCTCAAGATGAATCAGATTGATGAAAATAAAAGCCTGTGAACTCGGAGCTCATCCCCATTACCCATCCTTGCAGCACTCTAATTTTCCCTTGGCAGCTGACTGAGAACTTTGCTTCTGCTGGTGTGATTCCAAAAAAACATCTCTTATCTGTTTGATTAATTTCTTGCCATAGCTGGTGTACTGTACAAGGTGTGAAGAAAGCCATTATTTCTCTCAGTCACACTTCTCAGCGAGGCTGCACCTCTCCCTTCTCCTCCTCAATCGCAGCTCCGCGGAGGCTGAAACGATGGAGCTCTGCATCTCCTCACCTACATGCTTATGTCAGATCGACTTAGTGAAAACTTCAGCCAAGTGAGAAAGTGTACAGTAATTTCCAAAGTCACCCATGGCGGGCCGGAGCCCATCTCGGTTTTCACGCTGAGATGGGCTTAATCTAAAGCAGAGCAGCTGTCCAATCAGCAGCTTAGCTGGAGTGTGAAGATAGGAGTCAAGGGTCAGAATGAGCAACAGGGTTTGTGAAAAGTCCCTCCTCTGATGCCGTAGCATCTCGGTCTCATTAATAGGCAGACAAGTAATTACAAACACACAGACACTGATGCAGACCCATCCGTTAATGTCCCCCGGTGGGAGTGGAGTGTCTGCGCGTAAATGCCACTGCGGTGCGCTTCCAGCTGTCACCTGTGTGAGTGTATGACTCCGAAAATGTGTGTCTGTGTGCTTGTGTTTCTTCTTGGCTGCAACAATAGACTTTCAAACCTGAAACAAGTGGTTAAGAGATCTATTCAGCTGCTATAGAACCGCCTTTTCAGAATGCACATCGAGACACAAAGACAAAGACACACACACACACACACACACACACACAGGTCTCATTAGCGTATGTGATTATGCATGGCACGTCCAGTCAGGCAGTGGAGATGTAATTAACCTTTTCCAGCAGGAAACAGATGCCTGGATGTCACACACAAACACACAATGACATACACACGCAGACACACACACACACGTCTGCTGTCAGGGAAACAAAGCCAACGTCACGGTGTCACGGAAACAAAGCCCCAAAAGCGCCGCCTGGCACTCTGTGATAATCCCCTCACGCATATTTACATTCAGAGCTTAGAATACGCCTCGGTGCCACCGTCTCCACCCCTCGCCACACTCCGCTACCACCCCCGCCCCCCCGCCCCCATCTCCACCCATCCATCCTCACACTCCTCTCCATCTATCTACCTATCGGCCTTCCACCACAGTCACCTTTTTCCTTCCACTATCTGTTCCTCTCCACCATCTTTCACATCCCTTTCAAAACTTTCCCCTTCATGGGGTTCATCTTGTCATTATCAGTGGATGGTACATGGCCTTGCATGGCATCTCCCATAGATTAGCCCCCACTCTCTCTTTCTCTGACTCTGAATATTAGGGATTTCTTCAGGCGGGCAAAAAGCTGCTTTACGACAGATTAATGGACGGCCCTGATTGTGTCTGTTGGTGTGTGTCTGTGCCTGCATGGAATAGATTGTCTGTTTACTCATTCTCCCGCTACAAGCGGCTAAATGAGACAAAGCTAAAGCCATTTCACAGTGTAGAGCACCTATTATGATTCACTGTGTTACGACGCAGCCCTAATGAGAAAGAGAGAGAATGAGAAGAGGGGCTGGAGGAGGATAGGGGAGGAAGAGAGAAAACGATGGTAATGAGAGCGAGAGTTGGATATGGAAGAGGGGGGCTAATGCTAGACAGAGCAGTCATGCTAATTGGCTACAGTGGATAACTTTCTGAGGCGGGGGATGAGTGTGTGTGTGTGTGTGTGTGTGTGTGTGTGTGTGTGTGGGTGTGGTGGGGGGGCAGAGAAAAGAACAGCCTGATCTGTCGGCGTTACACTCGTTTAACGCTCCCTCCATTTCACCTCTTTAATGAGAGGAATATTCGCTCCAGTAATGGCGAAAGACTTGAAATTGGTAACGATTTGTTGCACACACACACACACACACACACACACACACACACACACACACTTGGACGTGGTAAGGAGGGGGGGGCTAGAGGGAGGATAGTGTTGGCGAGGGAGGGTGTGCGTTTTCCCTCAAGCACCACAGCCCAGTCCTTTATGGATCATGGCAATTTTCAGGGATTGTAACTCAAGGACAAACAGCTAAAAATAGAGGGGTGGTGCACGACTCCTGCGACAGTGGGGAGGAGAGGTGGGAGGAGGTGTGTGTGCGCTTGTGTGCGGGTGGGGACAGTGAAAACGAGTCCTGTCGCATTAGATTTGGGTCAGAAAGGAGGGAAGAGCCGACGAAGCGGAGAGTGTTACAGACGGCGGGGAGATTCATCACTCGCTGCTCCCTGTACCTCTCGCTCGTCTCCTTCAACACCTCGCCACCCTCCCCCTTCTCTCCACCAAAGATGGTAAACCGCTGGAAAGACAAACGAGAGGTAGCAGAAAGAAAGAGAGAGAAGTGAATGTATAATGTGGGGGAAAGAGAGACTGAACTGCAGCTAGGTTAGATAATATTATAATATTAATGTATGCCATTCTATCTGAGGCTCTTTGCTGTATAATGAGTGCATACATAAATTTATACTATGGAAGATCCCAGAAGGGAAGAAGCTCTAAGGGTAAAGCCTTCCTCTTACACCTGAACTGAGTCAGAGGGCCTGTACCCAGTCAGGCTGGCTCATGCACCGTTCATATGTATAGCTACGAAGAATGTAATGCAACAGAATTTGTATATATTGTGACAACTGTGATCACATAACGAATGCACTGACAGAGAAAAGAAGGAAGTAGTATAAAATGCAAAAGTTTGCGTAAAAAGGCAGGTTGGGTTGATGGATGGTTTAAACAACAACTTTCCTCAGATGACAGTGGTTCATGTCCCCTGCGAAACCAAGTGAACCTTGAGTTACATTAAGGTACATCATCACATAACCCTACGTAGGTAACGTGATGATGCCCAACCATATTTCTTTTCCTAAACTTAACCTACGTAACGTTACCTCAGTATGTCAATCAATCAATCAATCAATCAATCTTTATTCCAGACACAGGGAAGGTATATAGTACAGTACAAACATATAAAATAAATAACTTAGTAAGGCAGATCTAAAAGACCACAGTACATGGATTGTTCAGTGAATCACATATAAATTAAGACGCCAGTGGCTCCACAGTCTTGAGGTAAATCTGACTGCACTCATTGTAGGATTCACTAACATTGCAATTATGCTGTTGCATGACACAGACAGTCTACACATACACCTATACATAAGGTTCCTGAGTACAGCAGGACATGTGGGTACATCAATAATTACAAACAGATGGCTAGCGCTACTCCATCTAGGCACTTTGAGTAGTAGCCTCAAACCATCATTGTATGCCACATAAAGTTTCTGAATGCTGCTTCTTTTGTATCGCCGCCACAGATGGGCAGTGTACATTGGGATACAAAAGGCTTTAAAGAGTGTTATTTTCACAGAAGATGAGCACATACCAAATTTTCTGATCAGCATATTAGCTTGTACATACATCATACGATACTGCCTATAAATCAGACAGGTCATCAGTTATGTAATGTCGTAAGTATTTAGCCTCATTACATATGTTGAGGACTGTACCAGACGGAGAAGTCAGGAGTTATCAGATTCTTATCTGCCTTACTTCTGACAACCATGATGTTACTCTTCTTTGCATTGTATTTGATGTCAAAGTCATGACCATATTGGGAACATACCCTTAATAACTGTTGAAGGCCAGCACTATATGGACAAAGGAACACCAAATCATCTGCATACATCAGGTGATTGATAATGCGGTCACCAACCATACAGCCTGTTTTGCAACTGTTCAACAGCTTTGACAATTCGTCCATATAGATACTGAAGACGTAAGGGGACAATAAACTTCCCTGCCTGACTCCATTACTAACCTTAAATGGGTCAGACATAGTGTTACTCCATTTCACAAACACTGACTGATGCCTGTACCAGTAAACAAGAATTCTAATTAGATTCTTGGGTACTCCTCTGTCGTGTTACTTTTAAAGCAATTTCTCATGATTAACACGATCGAAGGCTTTAGAGGCATCAATAAAACACATAAATATTGTGGTGTTGTGTCTGTTGTACAAGTCTAAGATCTCCTTTAATGCAAAAATGCACATGTCGGTGCCATGTTTAGGTTTAAATAAACCTACCAAATTGATTGTCAGAGATCAGAGCAAACTCCTCTAACCTATTCAGTAAGATTCTCTCTAAGACTTTTGACAGGATACTAGCTAAAGTAACTTGACATTGAGTATCTATTGAAACAATACCCAACCCTGATTCTTTTCCTAAACCTAACCTAAGCAGTAGGGGCACTAATTCATTAGATATCATGCCAACCGTATGAGAATATGTTGACCCAGTTAAAAAGAATTGTTCGACATTTCCAGAAGCATACTTATTTACTTTCCTGTTGAATGTTAGATGAGAAAAAAGATACCACTCTCATGTCAGTAGGTTTAGTGCGGAGCTAGAAGGCAGTGGGAATCAATTAGCTTAGCATAAAGACTGAAAGCAGATGGAATTCTTGGCAAGAAAACAAATAAGCATATTTCCAAAATCATCAAACTATTCCTTCAATCCAGCAGGTGGTGTGTTGGTTTACTGTCTGCATCACATAGGGATTGAACCCACTAACCCAGTCCATGATAGTGCCTTGCTCAAGAAAATTAATCCCCTCATCACCTGAGACGATCATCAAATATATTTTATTGGGAAGATGAACCCTCATGGAGAAGAAGCTGCTTTTAGAAACAAAATGCTGTTGAATATGCAGTGCAGGACATTTAGATTCATGACAAAGTTAGTAGTTGTCTTCGGGGACTGGAACACTCAACCCTGGCAAGGTTGCTAAAGTACTATACATCCCTTTTTTTATTCCTCCAGTGTGTCCTCCCGTGCATGAGCCTGTTGTCCCTCCCTTACTTTCCCCTTCCCTCACCCACATCTGTTCTGTTTTCCTAATGAAGAGGAAAGTGATGGTCCCACCAAGGCTAATTAGGAGGACTGATATGCAGAGCGCTGACAGACTGGCGATAGAGTCAGGAGGGAAGCGCCAACGCAGTACTGCTTAGAGCTCCCACCAGTCCTGGAGCATCAGAGGAGGGAATGGGGAAAAGGGATGCCGAGAGAGGAGATAAAAATGAGCGGAGGAGGAGGAGAAGAGAGATATATGGCGTAATTGAGACTGTAATGGGTTTTGTCAGAAGCACCTGTCAGGGTCAAGTTAAAACGACTTTGGTGAGCGAGGAAGACAGGGACGAGAGGATGGGAGAGGGGAGAAGGGGCCAATTGGAGTCAGGCTCCCGGTGAGGAGAGGCCCTCGTCCATGCCAACCTCACCTGATTGCCAATTTGTGCCAGTCTACAGACATAAAACGCCAATATGAGCCAAGCGCAAACACACAAACGCCAGTGATTCAGGGAGTACTAAGCAGCTAAAAGCATCCATACACATTCACTCACACACATGTGCGAACCCACGCTGACAACCCACCTACGCCGGCTGATTGGACACATCTAGCCACTTAACAAGGTGTCCATGGTGGCGGACTTTAGCTGTGTGATTGGAAGATACAACTGCTGCCGTTAAATATCTAATTCTCCCCCATGTCTAGATGAAAATAAGGTGTAGCGCTGATTAGATTGCTGCCTGCTGTGCCAACCTCGGGTCTGCGCCATGTTCATTACCAGCCCTCACCCCCCAGCCCCAGCCAATCCTATCTTGGTTCGTGTTCTCCTGCCAACCTCAAATACTCTATTTGTGATGGAAAAGCAATTCTGACACCCTCGAGAGTTGAGGTCGATGCCTGAGGAGTGATGAAATTAAGTTGAGTAAAATTTATTTATAAATCGCTGTTAAAGCTGCACCTGGCTATTCAACATGTTGACAGCCCTGAATGGCAGTAAGACATAACTGACTGAAATTTAAGACCTCGGTGCAGAGAAATCCTGTTAAGGTGGTGTCAGTAAATGTCCCTCTTTTTGTCCAGAGAGAGTGGAGATGATGAAGAGGGTCAGCCATCATCCTGGGGACAAAGTTCTCACTTGGTGCTGTTTAGGCTTTTGCTTCTTTCAATTTCATAGAACATGTCTGCTGCCATTGAACATTTCAACACCACAT